GTATTCATTTTGATCCTCTATGAGTGCAACAGGAGGATTCGAGGTTTTTTGAGTAGAACGATTACATATTAAAGGTTTGAGGAGGGAAACATGAAAAGAGTTAGGAATCTTCATGGCATTCGGCAAGCGCAGGCTATAACAGACTGGGTTAATGCGTTTGAGTATTTGGAAAGGACCTATGAAACGGGGAGCGAATTTCATTGAGGGGACTTTTAATTTTATGTTACGAGTACTCAACCATACTCTGTTACCTGCTACGAATGTAGGAGCAGCTCTACGACGTCTATCCGCATTATTTTTGTTAATCTGGGCCTTCTGAGTTAAAATATGTTTAACCCCTAACCAAGTCTCTCTCATATAGTTGATAGTGCTGTCAACACTTGGCACTCCTGTAGATGAAAAAGAACTCGGCAGAGTTGTAGGGTTAAAACCATAATTAATAAAAAAGGGACTATGGTGAGTTGATTCGTGCACCAGATTATTATGGGCGAATTCAGCCCATGGAAGTAGCTCCACCCAATCGTCCTGATGCTCAGAAGTGAAACAGCGGATATATTGTTCAAGGCATTGATTCATCCTTTCCGTAACCTCATTTGATTGTGGATGGTAAGAAGAAGAAAGGTTAAGATTAATACCTAGTTGGTCACAAACTCCAGAACCGAGAAACAAATTGTGACCCTCTGTTGGAAGTAATATCTTGAGGCCAGTTCGGAAGAAGAAGGTAATTTGATTAACGGGACCAGATGGGTAATTTTAGAGAATCTGTCGATAATAGTCAATATGACACTATGATTCTTGGAGGGAGGCAGGCCCACTACAAAATCCATGGCAATACTCGACCAGGGTTTATCGGGAATGGGCAATGGCAAGAGGAGACCAAAAGGATGACCTTTGGGTGATTTAGTAGAGACACAGATCCTACATGCAAGAACAAACTCACGAATGTCCTTCTTGTATGAAGGCCACCAGAATAGTTTTTCGAGTAAAGATTCAGTTTTGTGAATACCCGGATATCCTGCCAATTTGGAGTCATGTACAAGGGATAAGACCTTTTTTCTATAAGCCAACAGTACATATAATTTTCCCCGGGGAACGGTTAATGAGGCACGATCCTGGAATTTGGATCGTTCCTCCATTAACCCAGAAGAGACTTTGGCATGGACAGTGGCAATTATGTGGTTGGTTGGGATTATGGAGGAAAAGTGGGTTACAGGAGGTCATAAATGTTCATGTTGACGGGATAAGGCGTCAGCCTTAGTGTTCTTTGAACCTGGTCTGTAAATTACAATGTAATTAAACCGTGTTAAAAATAAAGACCATCGAATCTGCCTTTCTGACATTCTTTTGGCCTCTCCAAAATATGAAAGGTTTTTATGATCCAAAAGGATGGTAATAGGAATAGCTGACCCTTCTAACAGATGGTGACACTCTTTAAGAGCTGAGATAATAGCCAATAATCCCCTGTCTCCAATATCATATCTTTTTTCGGTCTCCGTTCATTTCTTAGAAAAAAATCCACAGGGATGCAGCGGTTAATCATCAGAGGGTCATTGAGATAACACAGCCCCAATACCCGTTTCTGATGCATCCACCTCTAATAGAAAGGGATGTGAAGGATCGGGATGTCTCAATACTGGCGCTGAGGAAAAAGCCCTTTTTAATCTCTCAAAAGCTTCCTTGGCCTCGAGACTCCATTCCGAGGGATTCTGTCCCTTTTTGGTCATGGCAGTGATAGGAGCAGTGATAGAGGAGAATCCCTTAATAAATTTCCTGTAATAATTAGCAAATCCCAGGAAACGTTGGATGGCTTTGAGTCCAACGGGCAAGGGCAAGTGTAGAATAGCTTCTAGTTTTTTTTTTTTCCATTTGAAATCCAGACCCTGAAATTATATTGCCCAGGAAATGTACTTCGTCCTTATCAAACAGACATTTCTCTAACTTACAGTAAAGTCCATTTTCTAAGAGTTTAGAAAGAACCAACCTGACATGACTATGGTGGTCCTTAATATTGTTGGAGTAGATTAGGATATCATCTAAATAGACTATTACAAACATCTGTAAATACTCTCTTAAAACATCATTAATGAAGTCTTGAAAGACTGCTGGGGCATTACATAACCCAAAGGGCATGACCCGATACTCGTAGTGACCATAACGAGTATTAAAAGCAGTCTTCCATTCATGCCCTTTCTTAATTCTGACTAAATTGTATGCTCCCCGCAGATCCAATTTAGTAAATATTGTTGCCCCTTTCAATCTGTCGAAAAGTTCTGTAATCAATGGAATAGGATAAGCGTTACGTATTTAAACCCTGATAATCAATACAGGGTCTTAAATCCCCCTCTCTTTTGGAAACAGCCGGGGAGGAAGATTTAGTAATAAATCCCTTCCTTAAGTTCTCTGTGATGTACTCTTCTAGTACTTTATTCTCGGCCACAGAAAGAGGATAGATGGTGCCTTTGGGGGCATAGTGCCGGGTAATAAGTCAATGGGACAGTCATATGTCTGATGCGGAGGTAATTTTTCTGCTTCCCGTGGTTCAAAAACAGCTTTAAGATCCAAATATTGTTTGGGTATCTGAGTGGTTAAAGGTTCCATAGTAGGCACATTAGGTAAACCTACGTGTTTAATTGGAGTAATACACTTTCTAAGACAAGTATCACCCCATTTAAAAATGTCTTTTTTCTCCCAGTCTATTGAAGGATTATGTTTAGAGAGCCAGGGAAAGCCAAGGATAACAGGAAAGATGGGAGAAGTGATTTGTTGCAGGATTATAACCTCCCTATGCAGGGAACCTACGGACAATACCACTGGATTAGTCTCTTGTGTGATAAAAGGGATTGACAGTGGTCTACCATCTATGGCCTCAACGGCCAAGGGTGTTGATCTATTTTGAAATGGGAGAGCATGTTTCTGTCACGGGTGGCGATACAGAAACCGGGACCCCTGAGTGCCTGATGAGAAGTGGGAGTCTTCAGCGTGGAAGTGGATTATCAGGGCCTGGTGCAGGGTAACCGCACGCCCCCTTGTGTTGAGCACCAGTGTTTGTGCAGCCACATACCAGAACCCTGATTCAGCTTATGCGGATCTCAGGAACTAGGAGCTTGAAATGCAGACCTCCCAGGAGCTGAATAGGGAGGCTCTGCAGCAGGGATGTATCCAGTACTGAAGCAAGGCAAGGCTAGAGATAGGCACCATACATGAAAATAAGACAAAACTAGGAGAACAAGGCAAGACTAGAGATAGGCACCATACATGAAAACAAGACAAAACTAGGAGAACCCAGAACCAGAACAGGACAGAAAGCAGAACCCAGAACATGTACACAAGACATGAGGAAAACAAGAACATAACATGGACACGACTGGACAGGACTGTACATGGACTGGGATTACAAGATAAAATAAAACAAGACAAGAGATACAAGGTAAAACAAGAGGAGACATAACTAAGCACTATATATGAAAAGTATGTGAATTTAGTACATTGCATAAACCTGCCAACAACGCCAATGTACCCCATATCTGGCAGGTCCTACACTGCCTAATGTATGCTAAAACAACCACACTAAACCACAATAGCACTTACCTGCAAGAAAGGGCAGAGGCTTGAAACACTGCTGCAGTTCCAGGCTGAAACAAAGGGAAAGTGGAAAACAAACGGGTGTGGCAACATAAAACAAATATTAAGTGAATCCAAGAGACTGGGAAATCCAGGGACGGAATACAAGAATGAACCCAGAAACCCAGCAACAAAGAAAACCAGACATAGACCAGAAAACCAGAAAAACCAAGCAAGGACAGCAAAAAGAGTACTGGATACCAGAAGCCAAAGCCAGACATCTTCACAGAACAACAAAATTCTCGGCCTCCCCAGAATCTATCAAGGCAATGGTTGGCACATTCTTTCCTTCCCATTCAATAACTACTGGTAGAAGAAGCCTGTGATCTTTCTTACCATTAAAGGAGGACATACACATTACACCCAAGGCCTGTCCTCCTTTTGGGCTTAGGTGTGGGAGTTTTCCAGATGTTTGGGACAGGTTGAGCGAGAATGGCCCTTTCTACCACAATATAGGCATATACATACGACGGAATTGTCTTTCAGTCTCAGACAAACGCGTAACTCCCAATTGCATAGGTTCTGGGGGAGTGACTGCTGTTGTCTCAGATGAAGGGAAAGTCAATGCCAGGCATTCCAGCACCCATCTAGGTCTATCTCTGGTGTTCTGTCTATGTCGGAGGCGCTCATACATGTGGGCAAGATATGTGATTAATTCTTCCAGCACATTTGGTAAGTCCCTGGTGGCTACCTCATCTAAGAGTTTATCAGAAAGCCCGTTCATGAATACGTCAACAAACGCTTGTTCATTCCATCTAACTTTGGCAGCATGCGTACGGAATTCTTGAGCGTAATCAACAAGAGAACGAGACCCATTATTTGAAAGCAGCCTCTATTAAGTAGACTCTTTCAAGTAGGAGTTAGAAAACCAGGAGTTACTTGGAGTGGTTTGTATACTGTGGAGAGTGGTTTGTATTTTATTTTTGTTTAATCTTTAAAGTTGGTAAGGTTTAAAAAAGAAAAAAAAAATTTTTTTTAAATTTACTTTTTTTTTTGTGTGTGTGTTCTGGTTTTCCCCCTTTTTTTGTGTGCTGCTGCTTGATTGATTGGGGGAGTGTTCATTGTTTGCACCTGTGTGGGATTTGTATCCCCATAAAGGCACACCCCTAACTCACTGAGCTTGCTCACATTATTTGAAAGCAGCCTCTATTAAGTAGACTCTTTCAAGTAGGAGTTAGAAAACCAGGAGTTACTTGGAGTGGTTTGTATACTGTGGAGTGTGGTTTGTATACTGTGGAGAGTGGTTTGTTTTTTATTTTTGTTTTTTTAACCCCTTAAG